CTTAAGAGATTTTGCAAACCAAGTTGCGGGTGGGTGGGTGGGATGTTTGCGCGAGCAGTGGAGTGGACAACTCACTGCGAACAGAAATTAATTGCAACACCTAGATGGGTCCGCGTAGATTGCCCAGCATATTGCACCGCATGGATTGCCCACCGCATATATTGCACCACATATATTGCGCACTATAGGTTGCCCCACATGGATCGCATCACACATATGGTGCACCACATACTTTGCACCGCGTAGATTGCACCACCGATATGGCACCACACACACACACTGATCCGCCCGAAGACGACCAACAAAAAACAACCAAGAGGCATATGAAATGGAAAAAAAATATCCCCCATTGGCTGTCGCAAAATTAAGGAATAGTCTCTTCTTCGGTCTTCGGGGCGTCCGAGACCGCCCAGGAGGCTGGAACATCGCTGCCATGCGGCACGCCAGCACCCCCTATCGCTGCTGGCCCCGCGGCCCTTATTGCAAATTAGAATGGCTTCGCGCACCCAGAGGGCCACTACCCCTCGTAATGACTCGGACGCGCGCCACCAATGCCACAATAGCTGACGAATTGAGCGAGGCCCGCGCTCCCGAGGCCACGACCCCATGCAATTTCCACGGGATCCGCGTTCACACGGCCAACATGCTGTAGAAAAGGGGCGGCGCCCGCGCCCCCGGAGCACCGAAGAAAAATATAAGGGATAGGGGAATACGCAGGCGAAGTAGAAGGCGTGTAGCAGGAGTGCTTGACTTGGCTGCTGTAATGTGCGACAACATCGCGCAGAGCCAGCATAGCACCAACAGCGCCACCATATCCGATTCACACCATGCGAGGGTATACAGATCCGACGTGGAGTGGCGGATTGGCCCATCTGAGCTAGCAAAGCGAAAGACAACTTGGCCGAGAAAACGCGCCCGAACAGAGGGAATCAGGAGGAAGGGGGCCAGTGCTACGCACTATTGGTGAGCTCCTCGATTGCTTGCACCCTCCACCCCCCAATTTCGCTCTTTAGAATCCTTCGCCCCATCTTCCTCCTCCGCCTTCTCCTCCTCCTCCTTCTCCCCCCGTTCATCCTCGCCCATGGTTTCCTCCTTCTCCTCCTCAGTCCTCCCTCTTCCCTCTCCCTCCTCCCTCCTCTTCCCTCCTCATCTTCTCTCTTCCTCCTCCTCCTCCTCCTCCTCCTCCTCCTCCTCCTCCTCATTCTCCATCATTCCTTTCTCCGCCTCCTCATCCTTCTTCTCCCCCCGTTCATCCTCGCCCATGCCTTCCTCCTTCTCCTCCTCAGTCATCCCTTTTACCTCTCCCTCTCCCTCCTCTTCCCTCCTCCTCTACTCCCTTCCTCCTCCTCCTCCTCCTCCTCATTCTCCCTCATTCCTTTCTCCTCCTCAGTTCCCCCTCCTCCTGATCCTCCTCCTCAGGCCTCCCTTTTCGTCCTCGACCCTGCCTGGCAGGCTCGATCCAACGCGGAACTGACACTCACGACCCCGCATCCTGTGCTCGCACCCTTTTTCCTTGCCATCGCTCGGTCGTCCATTCCTCGTGTATTTGTCGGCTTCGTGTTGTCATTTTTAGCAAGGCGATCCAGGATGCTCCTCGATGGTCCTCGCCGGAAACAAATGCACATGTCCGAGTGATGCTATTTCTCAGGGCGGACGATGCGGACGAAAGGGGGGAACAACAAACGAGGGCATACGTAACTGGTTTCAGCAGCAACTCCAGGAGCTAACAGTGGTCACGCTTCTCTCCTACATCGCGATTCAAAACGTCGCTGGGCAAACCCAAAGCACCGCACAAGCCGACCTGAAATAAGCAAACTCATGATGAACCGTGGCCTGGGGAAACACTGGCCATGTGTCGGTGGCGGGGCCGAAATTAGCTACATGCAGCAATGGTCGCACCCCCCCCTTGCTAATCCCCCCTTCGTCCGATCCGACGCTCCATCTTCGAAATCCTCCTCCTCCTCCTCCTCCTCCTCCTCCTCATCCACCTTCTCCCTCCCACCTCCATCCTGCCTCTTCTCCTCTGCACCCTTCCTACTGGTGGCGCCGAACTGCCCACTGCACGAGGGGCCTCACGACACCGTCTGCCAGCGCGGAGAATCATTGGTATATCAGCCAGACGGCTCAAGTCCACTGAACTGTACCAGAACACTAAGCGACCTGTGGGAGCCATATCGACAACCAGTGCTTGCATGCAGAAAGACGAGCGCAATTACAAACATGGGTTGTATGAGCGTGAGTATACTTGCACATCCGTTGTCCTCCGCCGCTAGCGCGGATCGCGGCCAGGCTCACGATTGATGGATGCGCAAAGCGAATTGCACACTTGCGAGAAGGGGTGCCTTCTAAGACGGTCGTGATATCCTGGGATAGAGGGGGAGACCGGGCCGTGCAGGAGGGGTGCGTGCAGAGACACGCAACACCATCGTGCTATCATGGGGAAGCGCGACAGAAGGAACGAAGGGGCTCTTCTGGCCACGGCTAGCCTCGGCCGCGATTAGCTTCCCCGGCCTAGAGTGAAGTCGGGCCTGTCCCTCCACAGGAGGAATGTTCAAACATACTTCACAACTCGTCTGGGGACGATGTTTTGAATATTTTGTGTATTTTCTTCAGTATATTTTCGGTAGTTTGGATTTCTCGTCTAAGATCCGCCTGTAGGGGGACATGCCCGACCTAAGCCTAGAGCTGAGGCACGGCACCACATGCAGAGCTCCTCCTGAGAAGCACGTGGCTCTTTACTTTGCTGAATGCGCACGCACGCGTCAGCACACAGACTCGGGGACGCGCAAAATGGATGAGCGATCCATGGATTTGGCGCGCGGTCGCCAAATCCATGGATCGGTGGAGGTCCCCCCGGATCATCCTCTCGACGTGGACTATGACCGAGATCGGCATCGAACAGATCGCGCGAAATCTTGGCCATGGTCCCCGTGTTTCTTCCCTCGAGTCTTACCTGGTCCAGTTCCCCATTGCATCTCTCTCCCTTCCCGTGGTCTTTCTCCTGCCCATATGGCTGCTCCTGCTGTCCTTCCTCCTCTCGCGCCGTCCTCCACAGGCACCCGATATCACTCCTGCTCCCCTCGCTCCCCCGATCACGTCTGGGGAAGCACTCGCCATACACACAAATCTATATATATATATATGAATAAAGATGTCGTGCCGCGCCGTCCTGCCGGCCGGAAGCCCCTCATCCCCGCACGTCCCCGCGGGGACAGCTGGCGACCACCGCGATATGGAGGGCGCACTATGGAGGATGCTCTGCGCATGCCAGCGGGTGTCAGAACAACTCGCAGTCAAGACGGATAGCCAGCATGCGCGGCAAGGATGCAGGCTCCTTGGACGCCCTTGCCGAAGCTCTTCGAGCGGGGCTGGCCGTCGAGAGGGGTTTTGACGACGGACCGAAGAGGCAAGGATACAAGGGTCAGAGGAACAAAAAACAGCATACACATGAACTGGCGACGGTCCGCGAGGATTCCTTGGATCTGAGCTGGACCCTCCCTGGCGCGCGGGGCGCGTCAGGGGCGGCGCCGGAGGCGCCGCTGGGGGGGCCCAGCGCGGATCCAAGAATTCCGCGCGGAGAGCCAAATGTTAATGCTGTCTTCCCTTCTCGGCAGAAGGAGGAGTAGGAGGAGGAGGAGGAGGAGGAGGATTTCTTGGATCTGAGCTGGACACCCCCTCCCTGGCGCGCGGAGCGCGCTAGGGGCGGCGCCGGAGGCGCCAGCGCGGATCCAAGAACCCCGCGAGGACTGCCAACAATTTGTGTGTGCCGTCGCTTCCTCTCTCCTCCGCCCGCGCCGGGCTTCCTCCCTCTTTCTCGTGTGCACCGCGGCCCAATTTGCATTTTGTGCGCCCCACTAGTGCCACATCGCCAGAGCAGTAACCTCTGCCCAGGGCCCGACGCAAAACAAAGAAGTGTGTGTGTCCTTTTTTGTTTCGTCGACGCGATACCCTTGGGAAGGCTACTACTACCCTTCAAAATTTTGCTCACGCCGATTCGTGTTCTTCGACAATGGAGGCCTGCTAGATTGGGTCCGAATCGATTGTATCGAAGGATCGCGCCGCATCGCCAATGCATCGGCGATGCATCGGCGATGCATCGACGATGCGACGTCGACATCGGCGATGCATCGGCAACGTCGGCGTGGAGAAGATCGGCCTGCACATCGAGCCGCATCGCCGATGCATCAACGATGCGGCGCGATCCTCCGACCCCATCTACTCCGACCCAATCTGAGATGCCCAGAGAAAGATTAACCCTGTGCGGGGCAACGATAGGGGGGGGGAAGGACATAGAGAAAAATAACAACTTAGAATCCGCGATACATCACCGATAGATCGGCGATAAGCAGCGGATAATAAATCCGCACCCTGAAACGGCGGTTTGGGGCTATCAGACCCCTATCGGCGATCAATGGGCGATTGGGGGTCGATGCATCCCCCCTTATCAAGAGGAACACACAACGGCATGAACATACATTTTTGGAGCTCCGCGAGCCACAAGCCTATGTTGATGACGTTGTTTCTTCTTCGACCTATGCCATTTCCCCCCCCTATCGTTGCCTCTGACCTTAGGAATGAATCCGAACCTTCCTGAGCGGGTTGGGACTATCAGACCCCTGTGCGCCAGCAGTAGGCGATTGGGGGTCGATGTATTCCCCCCCCCCCCGCTAGTCTTGGTGCGCGCCCCCACTGTATGCCAATCCTCCCCCTGTCGTTGCCACTGACCTTGAGAAGGCTTCCCGTCCTCGGCCGTCGGCGTCGGCTGCTCGGGGGCGGCTAAGAGGGGGGCGTCCAAGAGGTGGGGGCGCACATCATGGCTGGCGGCATGTGCGCGGCCCAAGGGGGGGCCAGGGACGTCATGAAATAAGAAGAGGCGCCATGAAATCTACGGAAATATCATGGCCCACGCCATGATATCCACCCCCCCCTAGTCATCACCCCCCTCTTGGCCGCCCCCGAGCTGTGGCTGTGGCCCAACCCCCCGCGGCGGGCCAGGCAGCCTCTCCACCTCGCCCTCGCCCGCGACCAGGAGCTCCCTGGCCTTCTGGAGCTCCCCGTCCTTGCTCCGGGGTCTGCTGGAGGGTGCACCCGGCCCCACGGCTGGAGGCCTCCCAGATAGGGTCCAGGTAGATTTTTAAGTCGGGTATGTCCCCCTACAGGCAGATTTTGGACGAAAACTACAAAATACCCCCCCCCAAAAAAAGATCAAACATGCTCAAAAAAGAAATCAAACAATCGTCCCCATACTATGTTTTGAATATTTGACTACTCCTCCTGTATAAGGACGGGTCCAACTTCACCCAAGGCTAGAGGCCTCCTAGATGAGGTCCAGGTCGATGGGGTCGGAGGATCTCGCCGCATCGCCGATACATGGGCGATGCATCGGCCATGCACTGGCGACGTCGGCGATACATCCGCGGCGTCGGCGTGGAGAAAATTGGGCTCCACATCGGGCCGCATCGCCGATGCATCGCCGACGCATCAGCGATGCGGCGCGGTCCTCGGGCCCCATCTACTCCGATCCCATCTAGGAGGCTCAGAAAGGCACCCCCAGCTCTTCGTTCGATGTCTCGAATATAGGTGATCGACTTGTCCGTCGAACCTGCGAGAAATACGCGGGATGCTCCGAGATCTACGGAGCCTACTACGCACTTTTCGTAGATCCGACGGCAATCTCGGAGTAAATCAATCCTGTACAGTGCGGGCGCGGCCGCAAGAAACCCTCGCAAGAAACTCAACCCTGAGAACCTGTGCGCGAGGTGCACCTCAGGGGAAACCTGGAGCACCCTGAACGCAGCAGCTTCTTCAACGGCTGCGGGAAGTCACCGCGCAGCGCGAGGAGCGAAGAAATGTAGGATATCCTGACGAAAAGCATATGGTTTTTTGATGCGCGCCCGCACTGTCGTCGATCCCCTGGTAAAATTTTGGAGCCCTGGGGGCCCTCTGGGCCTCGCGAGGGGTGCTCTGGAGGCCGTGGGGCCCTCCTCGGAGATCCCGGGGGGCACCCTGGGCCGAGAGCACACCTCCGGCAGCGCCCGATCCTTCTCCTTGAGCAGCGCCGTGGACTTGCCCAGCTGCGCGTCCTCGCCGGGCAGGGCTGCCCCTCACGGCCACGGTGCCGACAGAAGGGAGCGCCGAGGGCGGAACGATGGGAGCCTTCCTGGCCCAGCCACGGCAAGCCTTCGTGGCCACGAGCAGGTCCCCAACCCTTGAGCTCATACGAATCCATGAAAAAACGCCAGCCAGGGCTTACACAGCCATCGTGCTGACGTGGGTGCGAGGCGGGGGCTCATTCATATCCACCGCCTGGAGAACCGACGCCCTGGAACTCCTGTGGGCGGCGGGTATGGCTATATTTGGGCCCGCTAAGGCCAGAATCCCGCCAGCCCTCTGGGCGGAGGTGGTCTGGAGCGTTTCCTCTTCCATCTTCCCACTACACCGTCGGGGAAGGGTTTACCATTGCTCTTTATCGATGAACACCCCCTCCCCGATCCGCCTGGCGACAAACGCGGGACCATGACCCCCCCAAACCCAACCATCTCGTGCAAAAACATGTGAATCATGCGCGGACGCCCCGCGATCACTCCGCATTGGTTTTTAACAGGGACTGCGGGGGGGAGGGCGGCATATAGCCTGCTATGTGCAGTGCCAACGCTCCCCAATCATCCCTGTCAATGAACCAACATAGTGTGCACGTTGCGGCAAAATCTGGACCATGCGCGGGCACATAACGACCACCCCACAATTTTTCTTGACTGAGGCAAAATGGATGCGATCATGCGCGGGAGTCCGGCGATCACTTTGAAAATACGTGATGGGGGGGCCCTGGCACGCGCGGCGCACCTCGCGGGCGTCCCGCGCCTGGCTGGCACCTGCACTGGTTCCCGATCGTGGTCGATGGCAGCCCCTGCCCATGATGAGACTCGAATGCCACTTACCTAGTGTGAGGGCGGGTGGGAGTGAGCGAGCCAGCCGTCCTTCGGGGGGGAACCTTGATCGCCGTTCCCTATCAATATACACCCCGTCCCCCAGGCGACCGGCAGCCACCCAGGAACGATGAGGACACCAGGAGGGCACCCCCCCACCATCCATGTCAAAAAACGATACAAAACACCCTCTGCGCCCACACTTGGAGCATGCGCGGCCAACCCGATGCGGCGCCCACCACCCATCCCTGCCAAAAAACAATACGACGTACAGAGGCAAAGTCTGGAGTCATGTTCATGAGGCTCGCGAGCACTTCGTTTTTTTGACAGGGACGGAGGGGGTGTCAACATATTGACTGCGGCGCGCAAGGCTACCATCACGAAGTCCAGGGAGCCAACGTGGGCCCCCGGGACCTCGTGAGGGACGGTGCTCGGGAGGCCGTGGGTGCCTCCATGGAAATCCTGGGGACACCCTGGTCCAGGGGCACTTCTGGCAACACTCGATTTCTGCCTCGTTGCGACTGGACTAGATCCGGAGCCGGCGGGGCAAACCGCGACTCGAGGTGCACCCTGGAAGACGGGTCTATTTGGGGTTGGACGCGATTTAGAAACTCAGCGTTCCCGTCGAGGCGTCGTGCGCGAGTGTCTCAATCATGTTGTGTTAGACGCGCGTTAGGAACTCGTGGCTCCCGTCCGAGCGCGGTGGTCGAGTGTTTAATTCGTGTCTACAACTCACGAGTGTCTAGCATACCTCCAATGTCTAACGATGAGTCTAAATAATGTCAGAAATGTGCATGGCTGACACGTACACAAAGCGGCTATGCTATCAGTGCAGCGCACGAATGGAACAGTGAAGTGGAACCCCCTGTCCGCCTGTCAACGCTTCCAACTTCGCCTGTCAGTACTTCCTACTCCACGCCAGTCGCCTCCTCTTCGTCTTCCGCTTCCTCCTCCTCTTACTACCCCTCCTCCGCTCGGTCCCCCTAGTCCGGCTCATCACCCTCCTCCCAGCCTCGCTCCCCACCTCTTGGTCTTGTGCTCCTCGTCCTCACAATTCCCGAAGATCCATCCCTCCATTGCTACCAGACAGCGGCCACCTATCAAGCCATTTGTTTTCACAGCGAGTTCCAGCTAACAGCGAACCGAAACATATCACCGACTGCCACATCCAATTGATTCGTATGACGTGTGCGCGAAGTCAGGTTGTACGTCTACATGTACTAAAGGTGTGCAATCCATATGTTTAGCGTGCCTAAATGATCTCAAACAAAAGCGTTTCGTGTTGACACGTCTCTAAGGTGAATAAAAGGTCTTCAATGTCATCGCAAAACCACAGTGATGATTGAATGGTTCGCAAGCCAAAATTACTCCGACGGTAGGACCCCGCACGAGAATCTGTTTAGTTTACCCTTTGCCCTTTCCTCTTCCTCCTGGGGTTCCCGCCTGAGACTTCCTCACAATTCACTCACAGACGAGGCCCCCCTCCCTCTCGAGACTTCCTCCATATTCAAGTGTCAAGAGCCCAAAAGTGACGACAGTTGCACGTTGCGGATGACCCGCTCGGATTCAAACATGAAGTGCGGGCCCCATAGGGAGGGGGCTCCCGCCTGAGACTTCCTCACAATTCACTCACAGACGAGGCTCCCGCCTGATACTTCTTCCATATTCAGGCCTCAAGAGCCCAAAACTGACGACAATTACACGTTGCGGATGACCCGCTCGGATTCAAACATGAAGCACGGGCCCCATAGGGAGGGGGCTCCCGCCTGAGACTTCCTCGCAATTCACTCACAGACGAGGCTCCCGCTCGAGACTTCCTCCATATTCAAATCTCAAGAGCCCAAAAGTGACGACAGTGCACGTTGCAGATGACCCGCTCAAATTCAAACATGAAGTGCGGGCCCCATAGGGAGGGGGCTCCCGCCTGAGACTTGCTCGCAATTCACTCACAGACGAGGCTCCCTCTCGAAACTTCCTCCATATTCATATCTCAAGAGCCCAAAAGTGACGACAGCTGCACGTTGCGGATGACCCGCTCGGATTCAAACACGAAGCGCGGGCCCCATAGGGACGGGGCTCCCGCCTGAGACTTCCTCGCAATTCGCTCACAGACGAGGCTCCCGCCTGATACTTCCTCCATATTCATTTCTCAAGAGCCCAAAAGTGACGACAGTTGCACGTTGCGGATGACCCGCTCGGATTCAAACATGAATTGCGGGCCCCATAGGGAGGGGGCTCCCGCCTGAAACGTCCTCGCAATTCACTCACAGACGAGGCTCCCGCTCGAGACTTCCTCCATATTCAAGTCTCAAGAGCCCAAACGTGACGACAGTTGCACGTTGCGGATGACCCGCTCAGATTCAAACATGAAGTGCGGGCCCCATAGGGAGGGGGTCCCGCCTGAGACTTCCTCGCAATTCACTCACCGACAAGGCTCCCGCTCGAGACTTCCTCCATATTCACATCTCAAGAGCCCAAAAGTGACGACAGTTGCACGTTGCGGATGACCCGCTCGGATTCAAACATGAAGTGCGGGCCCCATAGGGAGGGGGCTCCCGCCTGAGACTTCCTCACAATTCACTCACAGACGAGGCTCCCGCTCGAGACTTCCTCCATATTCAGTCTCAAGAGCCCAAAAGTGACGACAGTTGCACGTTGCGGATGACCCGCTCGGATTCAAACATGAAGTGCGGGCCCCATAGGGAGGGGGCTCCCGCCTGAGACTTCCTCGCAATTCACTCACAGACGAGGCTCCCGCTCGAGACTTCCTCCATATTCATTCTCAAGAGCCCAAAAGTGACGACAGTTGCACGTTGCGGATGACCCGCTCGGATTCAAACATGAAGTGCGGGCCCCATAGGGAGGGGGCTCCCGCCTGAGACTTCCTCGCAATTCACTCACAGACGAGGCTCCCGCTCGAGACTTCCTCCATATTCATATCTCAAGAGCCCAAAAGTGACGACAGTTGCACGTTGCGGATGACCCGCTCGGATTCAAACATGAAGCGCGGGCCCCATAGGGAGGGGGCTCCCGCCTGAGACTTCCTCACAATTCACTCACAGACGAGGCTCCCGCTCGAGACTTCCTCCATATTCAGGCCTCAAGTCAGCGAGTAGTGATGATGATGACGATGATGATGATGATGATGATGATGATGATCGTTCGATGCCGGTGATGGTGAGTGATCGTGGGATGGTGATGGTGATTCTGATGGTGATGATGATGATGAGTGGGGAGTGATGGTGATGGTGATGATGATGCGGAGAAGGAAACAAAGAGGAGCAGAGGAGAGGGAGGAGGAGGAGATCCTGCACGGAGGGTGTGCAGAGAAAACAAGAACGCCACTTAGGATGTGGGGGAAAACAATTTAAACGCCTGGACAAACAAGAACCCTCACGCGATACGCGACCTGAATGAGACACGCTCTCTTGTTTTCCTGGGCAGCGCGCTTGCCGCCAGGCCGGCTGGATCCTTCTCCTCGTTCTGGTTCCTGACAAACTCCAAGTCCTGCGGCAGCGATGGAATCAAGCGCACTCCTCCTCGTGCCTTACCATCCTCCCTCCTCCTCCTCCTCCTCCTCCTCCTCTTCCACCTCCTCCTCCTCCTCCTCCTCCTCCTCCTCCGACTACTACTACTACTACTACTACTGCTACTGCTACTACTACTACTACTACTACTACTACGACTACTACTACGACTACTACTACTACTACTACTACTACTGCTACTGCTACTGCTACTGCTACTGCTACTGCTACTGCTACTGCTACTGCTACTACTACTACTACTACTACTACTACTACTACTACTACTACTACTACTACTACTACTACTACTACTACTACTACTACTACTACCACTACTACTACCACTACTACTACTGCTACTGCTACTACTACTACTACTACTACTACTACTACTACTACTACTACGACTACGACTACGACTACGACTACTACTACGACTACGACTACGACTACGACTTCGACTACGACTACGACTACTACCACTACAACAACAACTACTACTACTACTACGTCTACTACTACTACTACTACTACTACGTCTACTACTACTACTACTACTACTACTACTACTACTACGACTACGACTACGACTACGACTACTACTACTACGACTACTACTACTACTACTACTACTACTACTACTACTGCGACTACTACTTGTACTAGTACGAGTACTATTACCTCAACAACTACGACTACGACGACGACTTTGAGCACTACTAGTCCTACTACTACTCCTGCTACTGCTGCTGCTACTGCTACTGCTACAACTACTACTACTACTACTACTACGACGACGGCTACTACGATTACTTGAACTACAACTGCGACTACGACTACTACGACTGCTACTACTACGACACCGACCACCACCACTACTATGACTACTCCTCCACCTACTACTGCTACTGCTACGAATACGACTACCCGTACTACTACTACTACTACTACCACTACAACTACTACGACGACGACTACTACTACTACTACTACGACTACTACTACTACTACTTGAACTACATAAGCTACTTAAGCTACGACTACTACTACGACTACGACTACTACTACAACTATTACTACTAATATCACCACCACTACTACTACTACTACTACTACTACTACTACTGCGGTTTCTACTACTGCTACTGCCACTACGACTACGACTACTAATACGACTGCGACGACTACGACTATTACGGGTACTACGACTACGACTACGACTGCGACTACGATTACGCCTACGCCTACGCCTGTGGTTACGCCTGCGATAACGACTATGCCTACGCCTACGACTACTACGGTTACTATAACTACTACTCCTACTGCTTCTAGTGCTACTACTACGAAAACGTCTACGACTACGGCGACGACTACCACTACTACGGCGACGACTGCTACTACTACTACTACTACTACTACTACCACTACTACTACGAATGCGACTACAACTACAACGACGACTACCACTACTACGACGACGACTACTGCTACTACTACTGCTGCTACTACTGCTACTACTACCACTACCACTACCACTACCGCTGCTACTACTATTGCTACTACTACTACTACAGCCACGACTACTACTACGACCACTACTACGACCACTACTACTACGACTACTACTACTACTACTACTACTACTACTACTACTACCACTACTATCACTACTACTACTACTACTACTACTACTACGACTACTACTACTGCCACTACTAAAAGTACTGCGACTACGGCGACTACGGCGACGACGACGACGACGACGACGACGACGACGACTACTACTACTACTACTACTACTACTACTGACCACTATCACTACCACTGCAACTGCCACTACCACTACCACTACCACTGCAACTGCCACTGCCAATACCACTACCACTACAACCACTACTACTACTACTACTACTACTACTACTAAAACTACTACTACTACGACGACGACTACTACTACTGCTACTAGAACTACTATCACCACTACTATTACTGCGACTACTCCTACTACAACTACTAGAGCTAGAAGTGATACTAGTATTGATAGTAG